CTACTGGGCTTTAGCCTTCAAGGGGAAAACCTGCCCACCATGGTGCCTTTGGATAACTAGAAAAGCCTTTGGCTAGGCATAGTGGCTCACACCTGTAATCCCAGCACTTTGGGAGGCTGAGGCGGGTGGATCATAAGGTCAGGAGTTCAAGACCAGCCTGGCACACCACCATGCCTGGCTAATTTTTGTGTTTTTAGTAGAGACTGGTGAAACCCTGTCTTTACTAAAAATACAAAAATTAGCCAGGCGTGGTGGTGTGCACCTGTAATCCCAGCTACTAGGGAGGCTGAAGAAGGAGAATCGCTTGAACCTGGGAGGCGAAGGTTGCAGTGAGACTGTACCACTGCACTACAGCCTGGGCAACAGAGCAAGACTCCGTTTCAAAAAAAAAAAAAAAAGGAAAAGCCTTCCTGAGAGATCTCTCCCTTCCCATACAGTGTGAGCTGAATGTCCTCCAACGCTCCTTTCCCACTCTGATCGCCCCCTTCCTTTCTGACTGCTGACCACTCACCTCTCCCAGCTGAAGCCTCTCTCCATGGAGCTGTTCTGTGGCAGCGGCTCTCCAGAAAAGCTGTGCACCTGGATGCGGTAGCCCCGAGGGTGACCCCACTTGTTGCTGTGGTTGCTGGCCAGGTACAGGTAGCGAGGAGTGGCACCTCCCACAGGGAAGGCGGCCTGCTCCTCCGTCTCCAGCAGCTTCCGGGTCACCTGCAGCCTCTGCATCTGGTGCTCAGGGCTCCAGGGCACAGCCATGGGGACAAAGGCCATATCCTCGGCCCAGACCCAGTTCTCCAGTCCTGCTCGGGGTAGGATGGGGGAGGGCCTGTCATGCAACTGCCCTTGCTCCTCTGGACTCTGCCCCCACCTGGCTTCAGAGTGGGGGCCAAAGAGCAGCTCAGAACGCAGTGTGCCCTGCTTCTCTTCCCCCTCCCCAAGATACCTGCAATCCTTCAGCCAAAGCTGTTGACCTATAAATTAAAATATTTCATTCAATTTCACTCATTCATTCTTTCAGCATTCATTAGCAGAGAGGACTGTACTCGCCCCCGGAGACAGAGATGAATGAGCATCATCCTTACCCTCTCGCTTTCCATGCAGACAGGCAAACCACTGACTGGCCTGTCCTGTGAGAGGAGCATGGCCTAGGCAGCTTCCGGGTCAGAGGAATACAGGTGCAGGCAGGAAATGGGGGCCCTTCTGGGCCACTTTTCAGCCTGGCCTTAAAGGACATTACCAAAAGAGATGCCATGGAAGGACATTCTAAGGAGAAACAAAGCATAAGGAAAAACGAGGATGCCTGATTGTAACGTGTCCAGGGATGTGGAGTGTCGGGGCGCAGCTGCGCGGAGCACGGCCAGGCAGGTTGGAGCCGCACTGTGGAGGACAGAGTGTTGAGGGGGTTCTGTGGATGGGATCCCCACAGGCAAGGAGGAAAGTGAGAACTGAGTGCAGGGCAGGCTGCTGTGCATGGGAAGTCCTCTGGGTGCAGAGTGGCTCTTGGATCCGAGAGCAAGAACAGTGGAAACAGCAGAGAGAGGGCATGCAGGGCATGGCAGTGTGATCCGGTGAGATACTGCAGGTGCAAAACGGAGGAAAATTTAAAAAAAAACCACCTGATGATGGACTCAATGTGGGGCAGGACAGTGAAATGACAAAGATGAAGACTCCAAGCCATCATGTAGCCTTGCCTCTCCCTGTGACCAGACTCCAGGATCTATCTAGAATGCTCGACAGGATCCATGCAACCCCTCACACTTAAGTGAATTGTGCCCAGAGAAAGAAGGAAAATCAGAGAGGAGGGTCCATCTCCAAAGGAAATGTGCAACCTGGAATGTTCCATGTCTGACCTGCACATGCCAGGGACTTGGTAGAATACAAAGAGATCCTCCAACACACCAGCACCACAGGCCAGACACAGAAACGAGCTGAGAAGCGGAGGGCTGCCTCCCAGCAGCGGAGCCCAGATCAGTATAAGGGAGGGAAGAGGGCAATGGGGACCCTGTTAGCCCAGATCCTGCTTCCTCCCTCAGCTTGGCCATTTCCCAAGATCTTCTGATGAGATCACGTGGAGGAAGGCTGCAGCTTTGCACCCAGCCAGTGAGCTAAGATCCAAATAAAACTCAGCAGCCAACTCTCTCTCATCCAGCAAAAGGGGAAGCACAAAAAATCCACATCTTCCTTTCTGGGATATATATAAAACCAGAGCAAATGGAAACAACTTGCCAGCCCTTCTTCCAGAAGTCTTCTCCCCACCAAAATGCCTTACCTGCTACATCCAGATCCACCTTGAAGTGGGCGCTATGGGTGTGGACTGTACCCAGGGTGTGCTCTGCAACTTGGTTTCCGTACTTCCCAGTAGCACCAAAGAGGAATGCTGAGCTGATGTAGCCTGTGGCGTGGAATCTGATTTCTATGGCCCCACTGGGGTGGAAGACCATATCCCACACGTAGTCATAGTTGAGCAAGGTGGACACAGATCTGATGACCAGCACCGTTTCTGCAAGGCCTCCAAAGTAGTAGGAGTAGAGATCTGAGTGGTGCCGCCGCAGGGGGAGGCCCTGGTTTTGCTCAAACACACAAAAGGCATCGCGTATTGTCTTGGGGGCCTGGGACTCCAAAAGGAAGTGCCAGTCCACGTAGGTGGCCAGGTAGGGGCAGTCCACCCCACGGGTCAGGGGCGTGGAGTACTTGCCCATGCCAAAGCTTCCATCCACATAGCGGGTCACCATTGCTGCTGGGGAATTTCCACCATAGATGGCCAAGGCCTCTTGGAGGCTGATCTCATAAGCTAGTCGTTCTCCCTGGAAGCGAACGTCAAAGATCCTTGGGCCACTGTATGCTCCGAGGCCAAAGGAGAAAGTCCACAGTGAGGAGGTCACTCGACTTCCCTGGACACTGAAGCGGGGACCCTGGGGATAGAACTGCAGAGGGGGAGCCGGACCCGGGGGCACAGGGGACTTCAGGGACCAGGACCCACCTGTGCCATTGTCTGGGATCAGCACCACGTTCACCAGGCCGGCCTCAAACTGGGCCTCCAGCTGGGCCAGGCTGTCATAGTAGCGGCCTTGATAGAACACCTTCTGGATGCGCCAGCGGGCAGGGTCCAGGGCCTTGTGGTCCACCAGCAGCTCCAAGCCCACATGGTGGAGGAAGATCCCAGCCCCTGAGATGTTGTAGTAGAGGCCAAACCAGGTGGCCCGGTCCCCTGACTGTAGACCACGGGGAGCCGTGGTCATTGTCACCAGGTTCCGTCCCCCGGGCTTGTAGAAGCAACAGTGGTGCAGAAGCCCAGAAGCCTGGGGCAACTCTCTGTCGAAGATCATCTGGTCTATGTCCAGGTACTCTCGGAATAGCACGGGGCGGCGGTGATAGGGCAGGGGGCCTCCATGACGCTCCACGGTCACGTCCCGCATGTAGGAGGGGTGAGGCAGCGGCCCCACCACCAGCTCACTCACGTTGGGCTGGGGTTGTCCACCAAAGAGGACGATGGCCAGTGCCTCCCGGGCAGGTGGGGGGCTCCCCCTGTCCAGGTGGGCCAGGGCTGCCACCTTGGGAGGCAGCTGCAGCTCCACTGAGAAGACACAGTTGTCCGAGGGCCGGGCCTGGGCTGCATCCACCAGCCCTGGCCCCAGCCGCTGGGTCAGAAAGCGCATCACAGCTGTCAGCTCCTCTGGGCTCAGGTCTGCAAACAGCTGGCTCTGGCCAGGGTGTGGCCAAGGCTGGGCACTGGGAGATACGGAGGGGCAGCGGGGAAGCTGGCTGGGTTCACCCTCATCTCCACCCCTGCGCACTAGCAGGACACAAACCAAAGCAAAGATGGTGATGACAGCCAGAGCGAGGAGCGCCAGAATGGTCTTCTGGTTCATTTTCCCATGAAGAGGGATAGCAGATTCAACCAAAGGAGAGCAATGTATTCTCAGGCCAGCAAGACGGGGGCTCTGATGGTGGCGGGGGGCACTCCTGGACTCTGGCTGAGGTTCCCAGTAGTCAGATGCCTGGGACTAAGGGTGGGAAGGACACAGGGAGGCTCGGGCAAGGGGGCGGGGTGGCCGGAGCTGGAGGCGGGTCTGAGCAGCTGTGATTTCCACAGACCTTACATGGTTTTGTCTTCCACGCTCCAAATCAGATTCTACGTTCTGGGTCAGGGTTGGAGTTGGGGAGAGTTGAGGCTTGGGGGAAGGGGAAGGAAAATTTCAAGATAATGCAGCCAGCCAAGCTGAGCATGAAAATGCAGCTCATCCCGGGAAGGGAGGGGATCTGTGCAGAGCGGCCTCGCTTGCCCTCAGCCCAGCTTCTTTCCCAACCCCCGACTTAGTCAGGGCCAGATGTTCTTTCCTGTAACTTCACACTATTGTTCTCCTTCCAAAGACCCCCACCCCCTGCCCCTTTCGCTTTCCAAACAACATTCCTTGGCCAGGTCTATCCCCCTACCCTCTGTCTTCCGTCGCTAAGTTCCCTGGCCAGAGTCCTTAGTATTCTCTGGAAAACCCTAGATACTTAAAATGTCAAACAATAAATTCAAGTAAAATTCCTCTCATATTTTTTATTATAAATTACATATAACATGTTCTCCAAAATTCTATCTGCTTTTCTTTTTGAACGCACATGCATAAAGAAATGTCTACTATAATGTGAACACCAGCTCTTTCTGAGTAGTAAGAGTTGTGGTATTTTTGCCTGAATATTTTAAAATCATTTTTTTATTTTTATTAATATTATTTTTTTTTCGAGACGGAGTTTCGCTCTTGTTACCCAGGCTGGAGTGCAATGGCGCGATCTCGGCTCACCGCAACCTCCGCCTCCTGGGTTCAGGCAATTCTCCTGCCTCAGCCTCCTGAGTAGCTGGGATTACAGGCACGTGCCACCATGCCCAGCTAATTTTTAGCATTTTTAGTAGAGACGGGGTTTCATCATGTTGACCAGGATGGTCTCGATCTCTTGACCTCGTGATCCACCCGCCTCAGCCTCCCAAAGTGCTGGGATTACAGGCTTGAGCCACCGCGCCCGGCTTTAAATCATTTTTATAACTTAAAATTTTAGAAATGAACAGGAAGAATGAATTAACCAAAGGGACGGATGGGGGTTTAGTGTGAGAGGAACATTGAGAGGGTGGGAATATGGGCAGTAGGTGTAATAAAAGCACATGGAACAGAAAGTGGAAACAGAGAAAGGTACCTGTGCCTAACCACGGCCCCCACCACACCCTCAGGATTAGAAGCCATGGTAGGAGAAAGGGGGCAAGTCTGGGACACAGGCTGCCAGGTCGGGGAGGCAGGCCACGGGATTGACGCTGCAGAGCCCAGAGTCCTGGCCCCTCTCAAAGTAGACGCTGCCAGGGGAGAAGATGGAGGGGTCCTCATCAAAGAAGTTATAGGGTCGGAGCAAGAAGCCAACTCTGTTCCCCAGAGTCACTGTGTTGGGGATGTCCTCGGCATGGGGAATGTGCAGGAAGCTGGCTGTGACCCAAGCCACCAGATCCTGCAGGAAGAGGGAGGAGCTGGAAGACTATGGAAGCAAGACCCAAAGAACCACCCTTCAGCCACAATCCCAGCCTCCAGCCTCAGCCTGGCTTCCACTCCGCCCCGGCTTGTGCCTATACAAGAGGAGCAATCAATGTAAGCAGCTGTGCAGGGAGCCAGGGAGCCAGTGTCCCAGAGCTAATCTCACCCCAGGAGGGATGACCTGTGTTGGTCATCAGAAAACTGCATGGCCTGTGAACCTATGAACTGGAAATCAGCCATTCCTCCTAACCTATAGCCAGAGGCCGGATAGCCAAGATGCCATGCCCACGGGTGTCCCTTTCCTCCATCCCTAGGGCAACCAACCTCTCCTAAGAGGGTTTCATTGTTGATGAAGTCAGCAAAGGCAACTGTGGGTGTCCAGATGTCATTCTGGTGATAGATGCTACTGCTCTGTGACTCCTCCTCCTTTCTCTGGGTCACCACAAGCTGGTATCTGACCAGGAATCATTGTCAAGAAGGTGGTGTTGGAAAATGCCAAGTGCCTTTACTGGCCCCAGAAGTCCCTTACATCAGATTCTGTGTGAGACCACTTCCCACTGTGTATCTAACTTGGGTGTGAGGGGAGGTACAGGGATGAATGGTAGCCGTGGACAGGGAGTTGGGAGTCTCCAAGGGCTGGGGTGGGGGAGAAACAGTCCTTCCCTTCCACCCAGTCCAGGGCCCTCCTCACCTCCCCCAGCTGAGGGCCCTCTCCATGTCACTCTCCAGGGGCATGTGTACGCCAAGGGGGCTGTGGATCTGGATTCGGTACCCACGCTGGTGACTCCACGCATTAGTCTGGTTGCTAGCCAGGTAGAGGTAGCGGGGTAGGGGACTTCCCAAGGAAAAAGCTGCCAGGTCCTCCTTTCCCAGCACCTGCCGAGTCAGCTGTGGGCGCTGTAGCCGGTGCTCTGGGTTCCAGGGGGCGGCCACAGGTTTAAACACCACGTCTTCAGCTACCACCCAGTTTTTCAGCCCTGCCAGGGTGAGGGAAGGAAGATGAGTTCCATACCAGGTAAGGTCTCTGGGCCAGATCCCTGTCTTTTCCATGATGTCCACTGCACTGGTGTGACAAAAGGTGGAGAGCATCAGAGCACACTGTGCTGGAAGCCGGGAGGTCTGGGCAAGCGGAAACTCCTATCTTCTTCCCACTTGCCTGTCCAATAGGGTAGCCACTAGCCATATGTGGCTATGAAAATTAAAATTCAGGGCCAGGTGAGGTGGCTCATACCTGCAATCCCAGCACTTTGGGAGGCTGAGGCAGGTGGATCATGTGAGCCCAGGAGTTTCAGACCAGTCTGTGCAACGTGGCGAAACCCTGACTCTACAAACAAAAAAAATCAGCCAGGTATGGAGGTGCATGCCTGTGGTCCCAGCCACTTGGGAAGCTGGGGTGGGAGGATCACTTGAGCCCAGGAGGTTGTAGCTACAGTGAGCTGAGTTCACACCACTGCACTCCAGCCTGGGCAACAGAGCAAGACCCTGTCTCAAAAAAATAAAATAAAAATGAAATAAAATAAATCCCTGAGACTAGCCACATTAAAAGCACCCAGTTGCCACACATGGATAGTGACTATTGTTGAGAGTCGTGGCACAAATATAGAACATTTCTATCCCTGCAGAAAGTTCTATTAGCAATGGACTACCAAACAGTCCCTAGACTAATTTGCTTCACAGATTCATTTTCTGAATCCCTACACTGGACATAATTAAAGCTGTTCTATGGCTGTCCCCAATAAATAGAAAGGCACATGCAGTTGACTGGTGACATTCTTTTAACTATGAAAGGGATAACAGTATTTGTCTTGGACAAGCTAGCTGAAAAACTGACTCCCGAGCCGGGTGTGGGGGCTTGTGACTCGGGAGGCTGGTGGCAGGGTGGTGCAGATCCTTTGAGCCCAGGTGCTGGAGACCAGCTGGGGTAACAGAATAAAACACTGCCTTAAAAAAAATAAAAAAGGCTGGGCATGGTAGCTCATAGTACTTTGGAAGGCTGAGGCGAGTGGATCACTTGAGACCAGGAGTTCAAGACCAGTCTGGTCAACATGGTGAAACCCCGTGTCTACTAACAAAATTAGCTGGGGTGGTGCATGCCTGTAATCCCAGCTATTCTGGAGGCTGAGGCACAAGAATCGCTTGAACCTGGAAAGCGGAGGTTGTGGTGAGCTGAGATTGTGCCACTGCACTCCAGCCTGTGTGACAGAGTTAGACTGTTTAAAAAATTAAAAAACAAACAAAAAAACTGGGCATGGTGGTGTGTGCCTGTTGTCCCAGCTACTCAGGAGGTTGAGGCAGGAGGATTGCTTTAGCCCAGGAGGTTGGGGCTGCAGTGAGCTGTGACAGCACCACTGCACTCCAGCCTGGGTGACAGTGAGACTCTGCCTCAAAAAAGAAAAGAAAATCCAATCCTTTCCCCTGGTCCCCCACATACTCCTCCCTGCTCTGACTTCACTTTTGATCTCAGCAAGGTAGGAAGTACTGTCGGTCTTTTTCAGAAGCGAGCACATTCACACCTTTGTCTGGGAGCTCCTGAGAATTCTACAGCATCCATAACCTGCGTCGCCTAACTCAGCACTTGGCCACACACTTTCTGCAGGTCTGGACTGTTAGTTCCTTTAAACGAGACCTATATGAAGGCACCTGGCACAGGAGACACTGTGCTGATGCTGGTGCCTCTGAAGCCATCCTGTGCACTGGTGCCTGACACAGCCTCTCTGGCCCACAGCCGCAGCCCATGCTGCACATGCTAGGGATCCAATAAATGTTACTTCCCAAAACCAGGCTCTTTGATGCTAAAGAAAAACTTCCAATCAGAAGACAGTCAAAATCCAAGTATGTCAAAGGATAATCTAGTTAATATGATCATTCCAATCATGCTATTAGTCCTCTCTGCCCTCCAGCCCACTGCGACCACAGTGCAAGTGCACGCATACAGACACACGCAGGCAGGCACATGTCATGAGGATGAGGAAACATCGCGCAAGAAATCCAAGTTGAGTTTACGTTGCACTATACTTTGGCAGTCACTTCCTGTCCCATCTCTCCCCACCTTCCTTAGTTTCCCTTAAAATGGAGAGGGTCCAGTGAGTTTAATTTTCTTTGTGAATCTAAACGTCTGTGATTCTGAAGTTTTTCTGTCCTTGACAAAGTCTTGCTGGAACAGCAAGTCCTCTGTGCTTTGAGCCCTTTGTGCTTGAAAAATCCCTTTCCATACCCGCACCAAGCTGTCTGCCATGTCACCAGTCAAGAGATGACAGGAATGAGATGGCCCTCCCAACCAGCAGTGGCCCTATCCTGGGGAACAACCCCAGCTATAGTACCCTCCCCTTCTCAAGCCTCCAGGTCCACCCCCACCCTGAAGACTCTAGATAGATCGCTCCCGACCTCAGCTCAGATCCCTGCTCTCCCCACCCCCACTGGCCCTCAGAAAGGAAGAAGCAAAGTGCTCCAACTCCAGCCCCATTGGGCCTCTGACAGGGCCCGTTCACCTACCCAGTGTCACTTGAGGCTAAGGCAATCATGCCCAGCATTACATTTAAACTAATTTCACAATCACAGCAAGTCCGAAGGGCTGGGCAGGGGAACACCTTTCACCTTTTGCCAGAGACCCAGTAGCCCAGTACCAGGCTGACTGCACTGAATATGCTCACAGTCCCTGCTCTGTTGCCACTGGAGCTGTGGTGCTGGAACACCTCACTCTTGCCACTCGAGATCTCAGCTTGACCTGAGAGATTCCCTTCCTTTCCCTCTGCCCACCCCACCCTACCCCCAACCTCCATCCTCATCCGCTCAGCACTCACCTGCCACATCCAGGTCCAGCTTGAAGTGGAAGGCATGTGTGTGCACCGCTCCCAGCACGTGCTCCCCCACACGGTTCCCAAACAGGAGACCCTGCTCTCCCCCTCTTAGGAAAGCGGTGTTGATATAGCCCGTAGCATGGACCCGCCCTTCAAGTGCCCCATTTGGGTAGAACGCAAAGTCCCAAATGTAGTCATAGTTGCCCACAGACGACACAGACCTGACCACAAGGGCTGAGCTGGCCAAACCACCGTAGAAATGATTTTCAAGGTAATTGTGGTGCCTTCGAAGAGGCAGTCCCTGGGCTTCCTCAAACACACACACAGCACCCGGGAGCAGCTGGACTGTCCCTTTGCCCACTAATACATGGATGTCCACCATTGTGGCTTGATAGGGGCAGTCCACTCCCCGCACCAAGCCTCGGCTGTTACGGCCAAGTCCATAGCTGCTATCCAGATAGCGAGTCACCATTGTCTTGGGTGAATCAGCACCATAGATAGACACGCACTCTTGGACACTGACTTCATAGGCCACTCGCTCACCCTGGAACCGAACATCAAAAACCCTCAGGCCACTGAACACCCCATGGCCAAAGGTAAATGACCAGAGGGAGGATACCACCAGATTTCCTTGTACACTGTATTGGGAACCCTGGGGTGAGAACTGAAGAGGGGGAGGAGGACCTGGGGAATTCTGAGGCCTCAGGGATGAAGCCCCATTTGGTGGGGGTAGAGGGACTCTAACCACTTCCAACCGGCCAGACTTAAACTCCTGTTCCAACTGGCCCAAGTCTGCATAGTAGCGCCCAAGGTAGAAGACCTGCTGGACAGCCCAGTGGGCAGGGTCCAGGGCCCCGTGGTCCAGTAGTAGCTCCAGCCCCACAGGGTGAAGGAAAATACCAACACCTGAGATGTTATGGTAGAGGGCTATCCAAGTAGCTCGGTCCCCCGAGCGCAAGCCCCGAGGGGTGGCATGCAGAACTGCCAAGGTAGAGCCATTGTAGTTGAAGGCGGAAGCCAGGAAGATGGGTGCCTTGGGTAGCTCCACCTCTTTCAGATGTGTCCACATCTGCATATACTCAGCTCTCAGCAGCGGGCGACGGTGATAGGGCAGGGGCCCACCGTGACGCTCCACAGTCACGTCCCGCATGTAGGAGGGGTGAGGCAGCGGCCCCACCACCAGCTCACTCACGTTGGGCTGGGGTTGTCCACCAAAGAGGACGATGGCCAGTGCCTCCCGGGCAGGTGGGGGGTTCCCCCTGTCCAGGTGGGCCAGGGCTGCCGCCTTGGGAGGCAGCTGCAGCTCCACTGAGAAGACACAGTTGTCCGAGGGCCGGGCCTGGGCTGCATCCACCAGCCCTGGCCCCAGCCGCTGGGTCAGAAAGCGCATCACAGCTGTCAGCTCCTCTGGGCTCAGGTCTGCAAACAGCTGGCTCTGGCCAGGGTGTGGCCAGGGCTGGGCCCTGTGGGATACAGAGGGGCAGCGGGGAGGCTGGCTGGAACCACCCGGGCTGGTCAGCAAAACATAGGCCAGGGCAAAGATGGTAATGAGCGACAGTGCCAGGAAAGCCAGGACTATCTTGAGATGCATGGCGGATGCTGAGAGTTGAAATCAGAGTTCTAACAGCTGCTCCTTCCAGTTACTGACATCAAGTCCAGGTTTATATTCACTAGGATGGAGAGAAATGGAGAAAACTCCACCCCATGGGTTGGACAGGAAATTTCTGACCTTGTTTTATGTAATTCTGTTCCAATTTTCTGTCCTGTGGTTTGGCCCAAGGCACTACTTCCACATGCACAGCCTCTTCCTCGCCCCTGAAGTCCCACTGGTAGCAGTCAGTACCAACTACTGATTTCCATCATTTAGACCAGATCAGAGGGAATCAGAGTTAACAATGCTGACCTCCAGTTTCCACCCGGAATGGGTCTCAGGAAGAGTACAAACCTCAGATGCCCAATTAAGTTCTGCAGCCTGCTTGCAAGCACTAAACTATCCATTTTCCTACCTCCTGGCAGGAGCTGCAACTCAAAGCTCCAGGATGTACTGCCTTGTTCAGCAGTAAGCACTCAATTCTGCCTGTGGCCTAACGCCAAGCCCTTAATTTGTAGTCTCAGGCCTTTTCCATCCAGTGGAGTGGTTGAGGGCCTGGCCTTAGTAATCAGGTTTGTCCACCAATCCCAGTTCCCTCAGCTGTGTAACCCTAGCGGGAATACTCATCCTGAGTCTCAGTGTCCTCATCTGTAACAAATGGATACAACTACTCTACATATTCCTTAAGATTAAATGTCATCATGCACATCAGGTACTTAACAGCCTGGCCCAGCGGGGGCACTCACAAACTGCTGGCTTTTGGTAGTCATCTCTGAAACACAACATAGCAGCTAGCTGCCCTTCCACTGCTCAAGACCTTAGACTCTTTTTACAGAGACCACGAGGGGATCACTGGAAACCAGAAGGCTACTTGCAAGGTGGAAGTTGAGGAAACTTTATTTCAGAGGGAGATAGATTCCTAGGCAGCCCTCCAAGGAATGTGAAAACCAAAACTAGAGTCTCCTCAAGAAACTTAAGACATTATTCAGGGAGGATTCATATAAGGTAAAGAAAATGACTGGGTAGGACATGCCTTGAACCAGTTCATTTCCTACACACGGAACTACAGCAGCCTCTACTGGCAGTTCATGGGTATCGCCGGGGAAGGAAGGAACAAGGATCTTCTGAAAGTAGGGAGAGAAGGCAGCTCAGGTCTGGGAAGAACTCACTTTCAGTAATTCAGAATGAACACAAATGAAGGACCCACCCTTGCTTGGTAGGCAGAAGCCTGAGTCTTTCCACTATACTGGGGAAAAGATTCAGCTTGACTGGCATCAGGACACACGACAGGATGGCTAGGTGTCCATGGAGGTGGGTGTCCGAACGTGCACACGTGAGCATGAGTACGTCCTGAGCCACCAGAGCATTGCACCAGGGTCTGCAGCTTTAGAAAGAGGTCAAAGTACCTGTATTTTTAATAATTTCTTGACATGGTAAAAGAATTTTACATTACGATCCAAGGGTGGTAGGGTGAGGAGGGGCGGCAGCGGAACAATCCAACAAAGAGAAAGGGAAACTGAGGAACACATGGTGGGAGGAGGGAAGGGTTTCAACTGGAAGCGATCTGGAGGGTGGGCGGGGGCACTGCCCAACTAAAATGCAATTGGTTTGTTACTGAGTACTATTCGTGGGAAGACAGCATCCTGACTCCTTCTCTACAGAATATTGGGAGTAAAAAAAGCCAGGTGGAAATATTATTGGGGGTTGGAAGACAGAGACAGGAAGAATAAAAGAAACAGACACTAAGAGTCACTGGCAGGCTGACTGCAGATATCAACTCTCCAGCAGTGGTGGAATAAAAGAGCTGGGGGCTGATGGGGATTAACACAAAAGCTGTTAACAATTAAGTGGTATCTCTGGAAGATTCAAGAGACAGGAGGCAACTCTTCTATAGTTTTCACTTGCCTAGCACATTTCCACATACACAAACATGTATATGCATGTGTGTGCATGCACACACACACACACACCCCAATGACTGCTTTCCCTGGAGTCCCAACACTATATATAAGAGAAGTATTTCCCAAAAGGAAAGCCCAACATGAGCAGCAGCATCCGGACCTCACACCTGCCGACACCTTCACCCCAACTGACAACTGCCTGGGAAAAGGCAAACAGGAGTCAAAAGGACCAGCTTTTGCAATAATGATAATAAGGACTGAGTCAGAGAGGGACAGGCCTTCTCCTAGTCCTCTGCTTCTCATCTCTGTGTTCTCCACCAACTCACCCTGGGTACCAACAGGCTACAGTATTAGGAGGGAGGACAGGCCCAAGATGTTTGTCTGGGTAGATGACAACTAAGACAACCATCACCTCCTGAAAGGTATGTGACAGGGATCATGGAAAGAGAGGGTATGTTAGGTAATGGAGTAGGAGGGTGTGTGCGCATGTCTGCATGGGTGTATACATGCATACACATATGTGCATGTGAAAACCCCCATTATAAAAACATCTGAAGGAGCTTGGGAATTGACTGAAGGCCTAAGGTGTTTCTCGTCATGATCAAGATTCAAGGTGGGATGTACACAGATGTGAAGCCCTAAGTCATCACCAGGGCAACTTGGGAGGATCCAATGCCCATAGAGGAAAGAGACAATAACCTCATGTGAGGAAGACTTGATCCCCCCTCCCCACCACCCCAGTTCCTAAAAAACACCTGGCACTTTCCCTCCAATTCCCTCAGCTTTTAACCAACTAATCATCAAAAGGAAGAAAACATAAAGCCCAAGACACAGGAGGGAGAGGAGAGTGGAAACACAAGTATTTTTGTGCCAACATCCTGCACACACAAACCTGGAGTTCTCCAGAAATTAGGACAGGTTGGGTGTGGGGTATTAGGGAAGGAAATAGAAGAGTTCCTGAGGCCTGAAAAAAGAGGTAAACACATCACAGAACTAGATGAGAGTTTCATTAGACTCTAACTAAAAACAGAGAGGTGTGATTACTATTTCCAGCCAGTTTCCCCATCACGATAGTCATGTAACAAACCAAGGCAATGTCGGTCTTGAGCCAGACTCACAGAGTCCCCTGGCCCTGGCCCTGGCCTCAGTACAGAGTCTCTGCATTGCTGCTCCGGGGCCGTTTGATCTTCTCGATATTTTTCAGGATCATGTCATGTAGAGTGACCTGGGAGAAGAGGAATCAGGAGAATCACACATCTGTACAAGCTTACCTCACCAAGAAAATGAGAGACCCCTCCACAAATCCCCAAGCAATCATTTGCATACAGTAAGTCCTTAATGTCATCAATAAGTTCTTAGCAACTTCGACTTTAAGCAAATCAACGTACAGCAGGTAAACAAACCAAGTACAGAAAGTCCCCAGATAACATGGTTTCGAACAATGTCACTTTGTTCAATGTCGTTTTGTTACAATGCTAATGAAAAAAATCTTGGTTTTGACATACATCATTTTTAAAGTCTCAGTTTCTAAGAGCCTATGGACAATGTTAAGTGAGGACTTCCTGTAATTCTAATCTCACTAGAGCCTGCATTCAGGGAGGCAGTGCCACCTCTCTTACACTACAACTGGGTGTAAATGGGTATTTCCAAGGCCCCAAGTGTCTAATAACAACTAACATGTATTGTGCCCTTAACATAGTGAGAATTGCACCAAGTCCTTTAATGTGTTATCTCACTTATTTAAAAAAACAAAACAAAACAATTTTGTGCAGCAGGTACTCTTCAGTCCCCCACACCCCTTATTAAAATCGGAGTTTCAGTATTGTTGCCCAGGCTGGAGTGCAGTGGTGCGATCTTGGTTCACTGCAACCTCTGCCTCCTGGGTTCAAGCGATTCTTCTGCCTCGGCCTCCGGAGTAGCTGGGATCACAGGTGTCTGCCACCATGCCTGGCTAATTCTTTTGTATTTTTAGTAGAGACAGGGTTTCACCATGTTGGCCAGGCTGGTCTTGAACTCCTAACCTTGTGATCCACCCACATCAGCCTCCCAAAGTGCTGCGATTACAGGTGTGAGCCACCGTGCCTGGCCTCTTCAGTCCCATTTTAAAGAAGAAATTGAAGTTTGAGCTTGAACAGTTTGTTCCAGGTCACACAATACAGGTAGACCCGGTTGCAAACCTAAGTCTGTCTGACTCTGACACCCGTATCTTAACCATACTATATTGCACACCCCTCCACTCAGGTAGAAAGCAGTGAGATATCCTGCTAGATGACTTCATGGTTGTCAACATTGAGTTGATGAACAGAATTTGCTCTACTCATTTTACCTCAGACCCTCATCTTAGCCCTTCAGAAAATTTCAATATTCTCAACTAAGAGAAACCACAGCAACTATGGACAAGGATTGAGGTTACTCACATATTGATTCCTCAGCTCTGATATGATGAGCCTAAGGCTGATATATTCTTTCTCATCGATCTCTGTCACGGTGCGGCGATAGTCCTCCTGCAAGGAGAGTAGAGGAAAAAGCTAAGTCCCCGAGGCCCAGCTGCTCCCAGACAGCTCCTTTCCAGTAGCAGTCACTCTTCACTATGCTGCCACCTCCACCCTCAGGCCACAAACCCCTTACTTACCACATGGGGATATTTAGCTATTTTAGAAACCAATTTGGCTCTTGTAATATAATATCTGGAAGGAGAGAGAAGAGGAGGAAGCTGCAGGAAACCCTTGATGATGCCCACCACCTCATCAGCCCCCAGTGCCTCGCCAAGCCCAAGCAGCCCTACCTAGAAATCTGATCCAGATAAGATGCAGCTTCACTCTCAACAGTTCTTAGTTCTGCAACTGTTTCCTCCTAAAACAAACAAACAAACAACAGGTGCATCAAAAGCCATGTCATCCATAGCAGCCCCAAAGAGAAAGGGAAGAAAGATAAGGCAGGAAAGATGAGAGCATCTCTCCCAAACCTCTCTTCCTAGTTCGTGATGCAGGTACATTACCTGAATGGACACCCCAAAGTTGTTTCCATCTTCTATCCTGGGAATCAGGAGCTGTACCCACATTTTCACCTGGATGCCAAAAAATATATGAAGACCTTTGCCTGAAGGCTGAAGCCATGAAGTACACAATTCAGACTGCTGGGACCAGAGCCAGGAACAGAGAAGTCAAAATACCTGGTCTGGCCAGGCATGGTGGCTCACGCCGGTAATCCCAACAAATTGGGAGGCCAAGGCGGGTGGATCACCTGAGGTCAAGAGTTTGAGACTAGCTCGGCCTACCATGTTAAAACCCCGTCTCTACTAAAAATACAGAAATTAGCTGGGTGTGTTGGCAGGTGCCTGTAATCCCAGCTACTCGGGGGGCTGAGGCGGGAGAATCCCTTGAACCCAGAAGGCAGAGGTTGCAGTGAGCCAAGATGGCTACACTGTAATCCAACCTGGGTGACAGAGCAAGACTCCATCTCAAAAAACACACACACACAAAACCTAGTCTGTCAATTCCCACACCACCCCTACACCTACTGTTTTTTGTACTTCAAGTGGGGTACTTGGGGCAGGCCCATAGGTCACTAGCCTGTGCCTCACCGTGTTACATTTTTCAATCAGCAGCCGGATCTCAGGTTTCACTTTCTCAATAATGTCTACCAGCTGCTGGTTGCTTTTCAGCATCCCATTGGGCATGACAAACACCTTGGTTCCTAGCAGAGATACAAAAGTCAAACGATCAGGGAAGAGGAAAGGACACAGCATCCCCTACTTTTCTCTCATTTTCCCTACACCTATCACATGCTATGAACTCTGCCTTCCATTTGTCACAATCCTACCATGACACCACTGTGAGAATCAACGAGAATGGATGAACAAAAGAACAACAGATGAGCATCTAAAATATGACAAAAGCCTTAAACT